TTACTGCTTCATCAACTCATGGAATACAGTCTCATAGGTCTATGCTCAACCCCTGAGCCACACCGCCAGGCCATATTTGTATTATTTAATAAAATACTAGATTCCATAATTAGGTTTACTTCTGATGTACAGATATTTAGCCTGCACCTTGAAGGCTTAGTGACGTCCCTGTGACTGTAGTTTGTCCATCTGTGCCTGAGTTACTGCTTCATCAACTCATGGAATACAGTGCATTATGGGGAAGGAAGGAAACCTAGAGGCTCGCTAGTCTCATCCATCTCTGACTGAGGCAGGAATTGCCCTCCACCGTTCATTTCTTCACTCCCCAAGTCCCCTCCTGAGTGCTTATATGTCTCAGGCCCCATGGGAGGGATGCAGGCAAGATTGGTCCCCGTTGCACAGAACCTACTCTGGGAAGGGCAAGCGAAAGGGCAGGCTAGTACAAATCATTACATGCTGTGATGGATGCTATGAAGGCAACATGCAGGGGGCTGTGGCAAAGAGCAACACGAGGAACCTAATTTAGAAGACTGCTCTGACAAACAGCACTTAAGCTGGGCCCTCAAGGGCAGTGAGGGCCCTCCAGGGAGGAGGCCCGCGTGGAACAGCTGGATGGGGAAGATGAGCAGGAAGGCCACTGCGACCCGAGTGAAAGTAGGGAGGGTGCCATGGCACAGGGCCCTGTAGGGCAAGCTTAGATAGGTAGATGTTATTCCAAGTGAGATGAGAAGTCACGGAGCAGTTTAAAGTAAGGGAGTAACATGGTATCTATTTCTTAACTTCAGTTTTTAGCCAATTTTTGGTTAATTTGCAACTTTCTAAAACACCAGATATTTAATACAATGAAAGAAAAACACTAAAATGTTGCCAATGTTTTTTTAGAAAGTGGGATCCTGTTTTTTTTATTTTTATATCCTCCTGATATTTTCAATATTTTGCTAGGTTTTAATTTTTTTTAAAGAAGCAATTACTACGTTTAAAATAAGACAAAACCCACATTCATATATAAGAATAAGTGGGGAAGCTAAATTTTATTTGCCAATGATATAAATGTATTTGTATGGAATATGTGTTCTATGACTGTTCAATGAAATTGAAAGCAAAATGATTCTAAAATAAATTACCAGTGGGCAAAACACTGTTTTCTTTTCTTTTCTTTCTCTCTCTCTTTCTTTCTTTTTTTAAATCTCTTCAGTAAGGGAGATATTTTTCTAAGGAGAATTTATTTTTCAAATTGTCATCGTTGAAATATATCTGTTTAGCACCCTGTGTGTAGGCTGAGCTCCCAAGGCTAACAGACATTCTTGGTTTTGTGTCTTCTTGTCCGTCTATGATAGTTTGTTCCTGAACGCTCCACTATTCCAGAAATAAATTATGAATATGGTGCTTGGCCAAGCAGGCTCCCTTGGAAAGAAGGGAGCGGTGCAATAAAGGAGCACCATCCCCTTTCAGCCCCTCTGACCTCCCCGCGCTGGCCACTTGCTGGGTATATTTTTAAGACTTTGTGGAGAAGGTTCCCCTTTGTCCTTAACTCAACTTTTCCCCCCACCCTTTCTAACAGGTTATTCAGATGTGCTGAGTGCATTAATCCACCTTGTCAGCTCAAAATTAGTGATTCACTGGAAATGAGGACACCTTTAATTCCAATGTAAATATATACAACATTTCCCAGCTTCCCTAAAAATGGCAGCTTTATGACACAAGATCCTGAGGTGCTATTCAGAGAGTTTAGAGATGTGCTTCCTGAGCTTGAAGGACTTCATCTCAGGAAGGGAACATAAAACGAAGACACAGATAATCCTCTGAGAGGCTTAGTGGTACGTGAAGAAAAATTGCCAAAGGGTCTGAGTTAGTCAAAGATGAAAAAAACTTGCTGTTCACCTTTGTCAGGCTGAAAGCTTTAGAAATTCTGCATATGGATAACTGTACACGTACATGTATATGTGTTTGGCTTTTTTCCTATTGTGAGTGAGGAGGGTGGGGGCCAGTGCGGAGAGGGGGCGCAGGCGAGGGGGCAGGCAGAGCTGGGACCCTCGTTTGCTCTTTAAACAGAACAAGGTTACTTTTCCATGTTTTACATACGTCATGTCAGAAAGGGCTTCCTCACTTGAAAGTGTTTTAAGTGTGCAGACCCGCTGTGATGCGTCTGCACATTTCATTTAAATAATCCCTAAAAAATAACATGATGTAGGTCCTAGTATTCCCACTTCACAGATGAGGAAACAGAGGTTCTAAAAGGACAAATAATTTGTATCACACACACGCAGTTACTAAGTAGCGGGGCCAGGATTCAAATTCAAGTCTGTCTGCTCCAAAGCCCATCCTTCCAACCACAATGCCATGCTGGATCTGTGCTGAAGGCTCAACGAGCATATAGTCACGGGCCCTTAAACAGCATGCCAATACCCAAAGCACAGATCTCGCTCTGAAGTACAATGAAATGTATGAAACTGGGCTTTCAGTGGGGCACACTGCCAAGACGTCACTTTACTTAAAGAGGTTTCAATGGCTTAGGGAACAAGTTTTGGCCACAAAGGATGGAGAAATGCTTCCAGACGGAGAGGACAGCTAGTGCAGAGGCTCTCTGCAAAGATTTCCTGGTTTGGGTGGAAGCTGCCTGGAGGGGGAGGCAACCTTCCCTTGGCCTCTCCACACCCCAAATCTTTTCACTAAGTAATGTTTTAAATTACAGTGGTTCTCAACCTTCCTAATGCTGCGACCCTTTAATACAGTTCCTCATGTTGTGGTGACCCCCAACCATAAGATTATTTTCGTTGCTACTTCATAACTGTAACTTTGCTACTGTTATGAATCGTCATGTAAATATCTGATATGCAGGATGCATTTTCGAACGACGCGACCCACAGGTTGAGAACCGCTGTTTTAAAACGTAAGACAACAATAAAGAGGACTAACGCGGAAGTTTTCCCGGGATTTGAGGGTTGACATGGGCACTTTGGGGTCTACAGGGTGCTGTCAGCAACAGGACAGATGCACAATCCCTGGGGGAAGCCACTAGCAAAAAGGAAGAGAACAGATACACAGGAGCAAGGACAGCCAGCTAGTGAGGTCAAATCCCTCCTGTCTGCTTCTTTACATGGCACTACTGCTGCCTCCTTTGTTCAAAGCTCCTCAGAGGAACCACCTCCAGGAGAGGGGAGTTGAGTGTTTTCCCTCCTTTAAACGGTAACATTCTTTCAGGTGTTCTATTCTTTTCTTCTTTCTTTTTTTTTTTCTTATTCTTTTTCTTTTGTGGAACCATTTTTCTCTTCTAGGAAGTTGTCAAAACATATGATTTTTTAACTTTAAAGAAAAGCAGGACTGCAACGTGTCAAATCCCTGGAAATGGTCTGAACCCAGTGGAGTTTACACAGAAAAACACACAGTAAAAACCCTAAGGCCATCTGGCCACAGAGATCTCAGTTTCTCTGACAGGATCCCTGCAACGGTGGGAGGGTAAGTCCTGTGATCACTGAAGTGAAAATCAGGCAGGAGAACAAACAAGAACAGGCAGGTTTCAAAACAACAGATTCTGGTTCCTGTTCTACTGAGCTTCAGACCATGTCACCTCCCAGGGATAACATGGGACTGAGAAGGGACTCAGGAAAAAGACTTGTTCCTAAAATGCTGACTACAAATCAAGACACATTTAAGGGGCACTAAGGGAGGGGGCTACTTAAGGGGAGCCCAAGGCAAACGTACATATGAAGCGATCACTCATTGCCTCTCTTGTTCTGTTTTGTGTTTGCATGGCTATAACATCGGCGTATTACAGCAGTGACTACAATTTCTCGGAGTTATGCGCATTCACAGTTATTCAATTTGCAAGCATGAAAATTATACTCCTCGGGTACTGAACATATCTGATAGTCAGAAGTGGATGTAGCCCAGAAAGGAAGGAAGGAATGGAAAGGAAGCTGGAATGTGAACGCTCCCAGGGAGCTGGGTAGACCCACACAGGAGCTTGTTTGCAGGTCAGCAGGACGAGACAGCGCTCTTTGCAGGACCTGTAGTCAAGCTGACGGGATTTCAAATGAGAGAAGGGACCGTCTTCTACAAAAATGAGAAAAGCACACGGTGGTGCAACAAGAATTCCTGTGTTAATTTGCTAAATATTCACCTGCAGCAAAAATCAGGAGAAGTCTCCAACTGCCCTGGCTGGGTAGCTCGGTTGGTTAGAGCGTCATCCCAATACTCCAAGGCTGTGGGTTCAATCCTCGGTCAGGGCACATACAAGAATCAACCAATGGCCCTGGCTGGTGTGGCTCAATTGGTTGAGCATTGCCCCATGCACTGGAAGGTCGCCAGTTTGATTCCTGGTTGGGGCATATGCTCAAGTTTTGGGTTCTGTCTCCGGCCGGGGTGTGTATGAGAGGCAATGGATTGATGTTTCTCTCTCACATCTCTCTCTCTCTCTCTCCCACTCTCTCCTCTCTCCCCCTTCCTCTTTCTACACTCAATAAAAACATATTTTTCCTTTTTTATTTAATAAAAACATATTTTTAAAAAGAATCAACCAATGAATGCATGAATGATGCATAAATAAGTGGAACAACAAATCGGTGTTTCTCTTTTCCTCTTTCTTCCTAAAAATCAATAAATTTTAAAAAAGAGAAGTCTGCAATCATTTGAGAATCCTGAAAAATCTATGTGAAATTTGGACCTTCTAGGCAATATCTTGGAGAGATAAACACTCTAAAGCCAAACCGGCTTGCTCTGCCTTACGCCCCCTCTGCAGTGCAGTGTCCTGCGGATGCTCTAGAGCTGCCAGCCTCAGGGAGCGCGGGAACACGTTTACCTGCTGTCTGGTTTTAGGTAGCAGGGTTACTGAGAAGCGTCGTTTTGCACTTGGGCAAGGAATGGAGGAGGCGGGGGTCATGCCAGAGGGGGTGGGCAGAGGTGAGAGGAGCCTCAAAGTGGAGGGAAAGGCGAGGGCAGCTGTGCGCTGCGGGCACCGCCTGCTTGGTGTTCACAGTAGGCGTCATCATGAGGCCACTTACCTGAAATTTCTGGAAGTGTAGGCTTGTCTTCTTTCCAGAAGTTCCCATCACAAACAGGAAGTCTGGGGTTAGCACAAATGGCACTCTCTCCTTATTAATGCCCAGGAAGCTTTTGTAATTCCCAAGAATATGCCCAAAGTCAATATGAAATAGATTTCCTTAAAAGAAGAAAATGTCTGACATCATTACGCTGGCATAAGTGCTTGTAACAACACTCTGGTTTGTTTACTTCTCAAAACATGTTTTTAAGTTGCCTGACAATGAACGATCTTGGTGACAGAGCTATTTTTACACAATGTTTTATCAGCCGGTGGTATTTTTCGTTTCAGCAGGTGTGTGTAGTAATAGCCACAAAGCGCTCTTTGAACCAAGTATGTTTTCTTTACCCTTCCTGTGTTCTTTAAATGAGTCAAATGTTATTTAAAAATTCTTGTCTCAGGATTATTCTTAGAAATAGAAATCAAAACTCTGGCTAATATGTCTTCATTATGCCCAAGACTCTCTTATACCCTTTGTGTAACTCCGGATAGACTGATGTTTCAGTCCGCTTGGGGGAGGGGCATTTACCTTTTACTTTTGAGTAGCATGGTAGAAATAAATCATTTGAATTTCCTTTGGGTCAAATTCTACCATTTTTACCATCACCACCACAACTACCATCATCTCTTCTCATTTGTATAGCTCTTTGTCATATGTATGGACAATACATTATTGATTCTCATAGAGAGAAAAGTGGTTTACCCAAATATGGTGCTTTTCCCAGACTCTTAAGTTGGTCCAAATTTCTTTTTTAAAAAAAATCTTTATTGTTGAAAGTATTACATGTCCCCCCTTTTCTTCTATTAACCCCTCTAATCCACCCAAGCCCTCTGCCCCAGGCCTTCACCACCCTATATTTTGTGTCCATGGGTTATGCATATACGCATACAAGTTCTTTGATTAATCTCTTCCCACCTACCCACCCATCCACCTCTGCCTTCCCTCTGAGATTCGACAGTCTGTTCCATTCTTCTATGTCTCTGATCTATTTTGTTTATCAGTTTATTTTATTCATTGGATTCCACATATGAGTGAGATCATGTGATACTTATTTTTCTCTGACTGGCTTATTTTGCTTAGCATAATACTCTCCAGGTTCCTCCATGCTGTTTCAAAGGGTAAGGGAGCCTTCTTTTTTACTGCTGACTAGTATTCCATGGTGTAAATGTACCACAGCTTTTTTATCGGTCCAAATTTCTTAGGCAAAAATTTCTTGGCATGGTAGCCAATACTGACCACTGTCAGAGCGGACAGTGAACTAGTGAGCAGGGGTAGGTTAGGAAGACACAGCATTTTAGATGTAAAGGTGTATATCTGTGAGTTCTTTTTGTTTGCTTTTCTATAACATTTGACACTGTTGATCGTGCCCACCTTCACTAGCTTCTGGGATATGATCTTATCCTAGCTACTCTCTGACTTATGTTTCTTGGGTCTCATTTCCTCCATCCTCCTCCATTCCTCACGCCTGGGTGATCTAGGGCGATCACAGAATCCGCGTCCCTGTATAATAATGACTTCTAGATAGGTGCTCCGACCTTGAATCCTATTTAAAAAATTACTCTGTGCTGGGGGAGGAGGAGTTAGTGCTCAATGGGTACAGAGTTTCAGTTGGGGAACATGAGTAAGTTCTGGAAATGAATGGTGGTGATGGCTGCACAACAATGTGAATGTACGAAATGCCACTAAACTGTGCATTATAACTGGTTAAAGTGGTACATTTTATGTTATGTGTATTTTACCACATTTTTTTTTAAAAAAAAGTTGCAATAAATAAACTCACCTGTCTCTGTAATCATAATATTGTCGTTGTGCCGGTCGCCTATTCCGAGAACAAAGGTTGCCACACAGTAGCCAGCACAGGAATAAACAAATCTCTCCACTGCTGCCTGAAACTAATGCACATGCATCTGAATATTAGTTGTGTTCTAACTACAGAGGCAGCATGAACCTATCACAAGTGACTTTCAAAAAAGACCTCATTCTGGGAACCATTTCAGAGAGCAAATTATTTGTGTGGGGTTCCATTAACATTATATCTGCTAAGTGCCAACTTTCTCATTTGTTCTACTTACATTTGAGGCAAAGATTCAATGATCCACAATAGCAGGAGGAGAAAACAAGAGGCAAAGGGCAACATCAATTTAATCAAAGGGCTCACTGTCCCTCCAGGTGTCACTTGCCAACAACTATACGGAACTCAGGATCATTTCTTCGTCATTGGTGAACATGTGTTTTGCTTGTGACCACTTTAAAGGTGATGGGGTCACAATCCACATGTATAACAGACTAATAAGTGCTACTAATTATATTGCCTTCCCCAAAGCCTGCTAACCATGTAAATGAGAAGTACTAATAAATCCTGTGCAGAACTTTAAACGACAGTCCACGGCTTGGGAAGGATTCAGCACATGTACTTCATGGGAATGGGAAACTGACATTTTCAGCATCCATAATCTATCATTTAGATTAGACTGACGTGGTAAATTAGAAAGCACTTTATAGGGTATGCACTGTTTCCCAGGTAGGAAGAAGCTTATGCATGCTAACTAAATTTTTCTTCTGAACAACAAAAATAGACTGTCATAAAAAGTGCTACTAAATTATTTCACATACCCAAATTTGATGCAAAGCGTGCCTGATAATCAAAGGAGAAGCAAATGCTCGTGGAGTTCTGAACAGAGCTCCTCTGTCTTACACAGCGATGCTAGGTCACCACAAGAAGGTGCCTAAAACCCTCAGGACCTCATGAATAAAGGGTTTCACGACATACATCAGGAGGCACGACATTGGTAGAGCCTTTGAAAATGTGAAATCAATATTGCCATGTAAATGACAACTTCAAGAGCCTTCGGAGTGGGGAGGAGCAGGAGCTCACCTTTTCTTCAATAGGGCATTTTTCTTTCAGCCAGTGATTCAGGACTTCATCTTTAAATGCTCCTGTGTTGCCCACGGTGCTTTGCTGAATTTTGGCAATGGTTGTGGCATCTTTCACAATCTGGATCATTCCTGCAAGAGGAGGCACACAGTTTGATAGAGATTGGGGCCTAGGGCCTGACCTAGAGGAAAAATGGCTATGTCTTTGTTGAGTGGAGGGCAGAGAGCTACTTTCCAGATTCAAGCGGTTGGTTTTCTTCAGAGTAAGAGAAACAAGAGGAGGAGAATATGGAAGCTGTGTGGGACATGTTTAATATTATTGAGTGGGAAGAGGAAAGGGTTGGTTTTGAAAGGTCCTAAGTAAAAGCACTTATGGGCTGAGTATATCCCTCCTTCCTTGGCAACCTGTGCCTTTTCCTTTATTTTAAGTTATAGGCCAAATGAAATGGTTTTGTACAGTTCTCAAGTCAGAATCTTGAATAAAAATGTTTGATTGGCCCGGCTGGCGTGGCTCAGTGGTTGAGCGTTGACCTATGAACCGGGAGGTTATGGTTTGATTCTAGGTCAGGGCACATGCCCGGGTTTCAGGACCGATCCCCAGTGTGGGGCATGCAGGAGGCAGCCGATCAATGATTCTCTCATCATTGATGCTTCTATCCCTCTCTCCCTCTCCCTTCCTCTAGGAAATCAATAAAAATACATATTAAAAATGTTTGATTGAAATAAAATGTTAAATATTCATAAAAGTGCCTAAAAGTAGAGTATGTAATAGCTTTAATAATGTGAATTCTGGGATATTAAAAGCAGTGACAGAATTTCTATTTTTAAATGCTACTTGTGAGGGAGAAGTTTAATGTGCAATGAAACAGTTAAAGTTCAGAGGTGGAAAAGTAAAGAGGGAAGAGCAGGTTCTAACTAAAATAATTTCCATGTATAGTAACAAGGATTTGAATCATGCATTCATTTATCTTCAACATATCCATATTAAATTGGGAGTCACATTCACCAGCCTTGGAACACTCTCTTCCTTTTTATATGGATGAAGATTGTAATTTGTCAGTCAGCAAATGCCTACACTGAAGGAATTGTGATCCTTTAAAAGTAGCTGAGTGATACATCCACCTCCTGAGGTAAGCACATACCGATTTTGTCACCAGTCGAAATGCAACCATATGGCAGGAGGCACAGATCCAAAGATTCAATCTCCCAGATGGATTCCATGATTCGTAGAATCTGGGTATCAAAACACAAAAAGGTTTCCATTATAAATGTATATTATTTCTTCTTCTGAAAAAAAATATTATCTGGTAACACAAAATATGAAAGAAAACAGTTTTTATTTATTTATCGACCTGGTACTCTGAAGTTTCCATTCCTTGGGAGCCTATGAATTTTGGTCCCTGAGATTTACCTTGGGGAAGATGATAAATGGATTTCTTTTGAGATAGATTTTGGCCCCAATTCATCTATTCCACTCCAGTTATGTATATTTTACCACAATAAAAATATTCCACTCTACACATAAGGCACTCTTGGGCTACAACCAAGACAACAATAGCAACAATCACAATGATAGCTAGCATTTACTGAGTGCTGCTTTATGTGATCTCTTGCATTTATCCTATAGTGTGGATGTAATTATTATTCACATTCTGCAGGTGAAGAGACTAAGGCTTAGAGAACTTAAATAACTTGTCCTTATCTGCCAAGCAAAGTGCCTTAACAACAAGACAAAGTACATAAGGTTCAAGTGCAAACTTTGCCTCAAAATGAGAGGAAAATGAGTGATGTTTTGTGGTTTTCAGTTATAGCTTCAAATAATTCAAAAGAGGTTACAGATTTGTTGGAAATTAAATGAACTTTCAAAAGGTTTTGAACTTTCAAAAGAACTTTCTTTTTCTTTTTAATAAAAAATTATTTCCAGAAAAAATACATTCTTGAAAAGAAAGCAAAGGATATTATTGTTTCCATATTAGAAATCAGCAAAAACAGAAACATAGAGGGAATTGAAAACATGTCCTTGTTTTTAAATAGTCTACATTTATAGCACTGTGGTTTGCCTATTTTAAGTAAATCATATTACATATTAGAAATTACGTTACCTCTACAATGTTGAACAACTAGAATACAGAGTATCACTGAAGTTTATCCAGAAATGTTAGAACATAGAAAAATGATTAACATTGGATACCTGCATCATTCATCTGCTGTAGCAATCTGTTCACTCTTGTTATTTAACTGCATGATTTCTTCAATAACCTACCTGTACATCTTCTTTCCCATTCCTATTAAATCAATCACTTGAGTTTGCATTATGTGGATGTGTATCAAAGGTTATGTATCTAAGAAAAGCACCTGTGTGTACCGTATGTAGCTATGTCTATGAATATGAATAAAAGTGAATGCTTGGAGGTAAATACATCTATGTTCTGTGTTACCATTCTAGAAACGGGGTATATAGGTGAGGGAAGTATATCTGACTATTTGAACATGTTGGATATGCATCCTCTCAGGAGTGACAGAACTATGATGCTCACTAGATTGCATATCGAATGGTCCACAGCCGTACTCCCCCAGGGAAACTATTATGTAATCACTGTTCATTATACAAGATAGGAGAATGGGAATAGAGTCAGTAGAAGGCATTTTTTTAGATCTAATATACTAGCAATATTTTTTCAGATAATTGAAAAAAAAAATCCTTCACAGTAGCATACCTGTAAAATAAGCATGTCTTGGCGCAAATCATCGCCATGTTTAAAGATAATCCCAATAGTCTCGTTTGATAGAGCTGTAGGGTCGGCACATTTAAACTCAAGCCACAGGGGTTTCTTCTTAGAGGCCATCACTTTACACTTTTCAACCTGGAAAGAAACAGTCAGATGTTTTTATACATAATGAATACACATTGTAGAGACACACATCCTCTTGTGAAGTATCAATATAAATAACCAGGACAAACTCCTAGTTGGAAAATGATTTTCAATGATTTGGGTAAAACATACAGAAAGTGTTCTCAGCAAGTCTGAAAATGATAGTGAGAGTAATTTACAACACTTAAATCAGTGGTTCCCAAAGTGTGTTCCAAGGAACCCTAAGGGTCTGTGAAGATGCTTAAGAGCTGTGGCAGATCCCATCCTCTGCACACCCCATTCCCATAGGATTCTGGTACAGAGCAACTTTGTTTATATATTTGGGCTCCTTCTAAGATTTAAGTTGAAAAAAAAAGAATTCTACTGCTACCACAATGTCTAAAAATTATTATTGCAGCCCTAACCAATTTGGCTCAGTGGATAGAGCGTCGGCCTGTGGACTCAAGGGGATGTACCTTGGTTGCGGGCACATACCCAGTAGGGAGTGTGCAGGAGGCAGCTGATCGATGTTTCTCTCTCATTGATGTTTCTAACTCTCTATCCCTCTCCCTTCCTCTCTGTAAAAAAATCAATAAAATATATAAAAAACTAAAAACTAAAAACTATTATTACAGAATCAGATGCAATAGGCCAAATATAATAAGATAAAACTTAACTGCAGTAAACAGAAATCTAGCACTCAGGTACAACACCTCCTCCCTCCGAAAACAACTCTATGCATCTAAATAATCTCAAGGAACTTTGCGGGAAATGTGGCTTAGCAGACACTCACTTCAAAATAAAAAATATCTTAGGAGTTCTGGCCAAAAGTGGTTTCACCATGCATCAAAAATGGGATGTGGTCTTTTTTTTAAAAAAAAAAGCAAACACAATCCAAAACTCTATTAATATGTTATTATTCCTAACAATCTCTACTGAATAAGGACAGAGGAAAGTGTGTCTTTTTACTACAGGGCCAGTTTACCGCTAATTGGATATAAAGTAAACATGAAGGGAGGAGCATCCCCTTCTTTCCAGGGGAAATATCTTTCAAAAATAAAGGTGGAATAAAGAGTTTTACAGACAAACAAAATATGAAAGAATTTCTTGCCAAAAGACTTGCACTATAAAAAAATATTAAAGGCTGAAGGAAAATGATGCCAGATGGAAACATGGACCTATACAAAGTAATGAAGAACATCAATAATGGAAAATGTGGGGTAAATATTATAAAATGTTCAATCTATTAAATCTGTTAAATCTATTTTTAACTGTTTAAAGCAAAATAATAACAATGTATTGGGTTTATAATATATGCAGAAATTAAAAGCATAACAACGGGAGGAGTTTAATGGAAATATATTATTGTAAGGTTCTTCTTAAGCATATATGAAGTGGTTTATTATTTGAATTAATCAAGAGCGTGTGATTTTGATGTAAGGACAGATATTTAGATCAATGGAATAGAATAGAGAATGTAGATATAGATCCATATGGCCAGATGATATTTGACGAAAGTACTACCAACATTTTTTTTTAAGGTTCAAAGAGTGTTTTTGAGCCAAGGGCTGAGGACCTGGCCCAAAAGCAAAATCTCAGAGGATGGAGAAAATGCTCTAGGAATAGCAGTGTTGCAGTCCTGTTTATACATCCAGAATTAAAGGAGAAAACGTGAAATCCATTGGTGGTGGGTTAAGGAGGCAGGAGAAAGCAAGGCAGGGAAATCTCTAGGACTGGATAAAAAGGAAAATGGAGAGAGACATACTTTTACATTAGCGAGTACAGGATAGTTAACACTGAACAATTACAATGAACAGAGATGGTATATGGGGAACAAGATAACAACAAATTTCCTGGTAGTTGTGCTATGTCCAGTGAGTATGTTTCTGAGGGGTCTGGCGAAGAAAATGACTCTGACATTTTAAAGGTCTGTTAGCCTAGATGCACAAGAACAATGGACAGGTCTTGCTTGCTTAAGGTAAAGATTAGCTTTTCACTAAGGAAGTTAAAACTCCCTGCCATGACCTGCCCGGGTAGGAATTAATGATCTGTGTGGTTACTTTCAGTCATTGAGTTTGCCCCGTTTGCCGCACAGCCCCCTTTTTGTTCACATACCATTGACGAGAGATTTACTCGCCCCTGGTCAGGCCCTAAGTGGCAGAGACCTGATTGGAAACTCAGATTTGTCTGTTTCAGTGCTGCTTTCTACCGGTTACTTTACTGAATCTTGGGGGCCCTGGCATCAGGCCTATGCAACCCGCACAATTTCTGTTTGCAGAGGTTTGCGACCACTCCCCACCCTCAGGCCACCTTGGGGACAGCCCCTGACAAAACCACTGCTTCTTGAACCGTGGTCAGCCTTATCATTGGTCAGTGATCGCAGACCTGACCTTGGCCCCTCGGAACAGCAGATGCCTGGGAGACCTCAGCAGGCTTTGTTTGCCAACACATTTACATAGGAAAAGGACAATCTTTTCAACAGATGGTGCTGGAAAAGTTGGAGCTTCAGATTTAAAAAATGAAACCTGATCTTTATTTCACCCCATACACAAAAATCAATTCAAAATACATCAAAGACTTAAAAGTAAGCATTAAAACTATATAATTTTTAGAAAAAAATATTTATTACATTGACTTAGGCAATATTTCTCAACTTTGGCACTGTCGACATTTTGGGCTGGATCATTTTTTGTTGGGGTGTGTGTGGGGGGGGCAGTGGGGGGTGCTGTCCCATGCCTTGCAGGATATTTAGCAGCATTCCTGGCCCCACTAGATGTTAGCAGCACTTTCTCAGTTGTAACAATCAAGGGACATTATGAAATGTCCCTTGGTATGTGTGTGTATGTGGGGTGGGGTCACCCCAGGTTGAACATTACTGGATTAAGCAAATATTTCTTAGGATGCAAAATGTATGAGCCATAAAAGAAAAAGTGATAAATTAGACAATAAAAATCTTCTGCTCCTTGAAATACACTACTAGGAAAATGAAAAGGCAAGCCACAGATTGGGAGAAAATATTTGTAAAATGTATACTTGATAAATAACTTGTGTCTAGAATATATAAATAACTCATAAATAAAAATGAGAAGGCCACCCACATTAAAAATGAACAAAAGATGTGAATGGAAGATGAAAAACTGGCACATGAGAAGATGTTCAACATCATTAGGGAAATGCAAATAAAAACAACAGTGAGATACCACTTCTCTTTTTAAGACGGAAAATAACAAGTGTTGGCTAGAATGTGGAACAGTTGGAACTCACATATACTGCTGGTGGGAATATAAAATGAATGGTATTGTCACTTTGAAAAAACAGTTTGGCAGTATAAAATTACACACACGTACCAACTATTTGACCCAACTATCCCACTCTTAAATATTTACTAAAAAAATGAATGGAAAACAAATTGTGGCATACCTATACAAAGAAATACTACTCAGTAGTAAAAAGAACATACTATGGATACACACAGCGACATGGGTAGATCTTAAAAAGCATTATGCTAAGTAAAAGAATCCAGATACAAAAACTACATACAGGATGATTCCACTTTATGTAATTCTAGAAAAGGCAAGAGTATATAATAGAAAGCAGATTTTTTTTTGTCTGGGATCTGGTATGGGAGAAGGAAAGGCCTGACTAAAAAAGGGATATGAAAGAACTTTTTCTATGGAAATGTTCTGTATCTTATTGTGGTGATGAACTGTACACTTAAATGGACACATTTTATTGCATGTAGGTGATTCCTCATGAAAGTTGATTCAAAAGAAAATGGGTGGGAGATTGCCTGGTGTTGAGGCTTTCAGTATGCAGTGTTTAGGGAAGGGCTTGACACACATTTTCAAGACATGAAGACCATGTGGCGACATTGAGGCGATACCTACCACCAGGGCTCCTGCTTTCAGTCCAGGATCATACGGAACTCGAAAGCTCTTGGGGAGATTCGAATTCTGTAGGTTTTCAAGCTTTTGCTTAAGTTGCGAAATAACTGTAATTGTCAAAAGCACACAAGAGTTATATGAGCTCAAGAAATTACCAATATTACCTGTAACATTTCCTGAAATCATCTGGTCCGGTGTGGAGGAGGAGAAAAGGGTGTCTGTCTTTGAGGAACTAACCATTTCAGGTGGCAAGATAAGTCAGGTTTACTGGGAGCAATACATTCATTTACACCTACCACAACACGGGGTAGAAACAGGGGAGTAGGAATGGGATATCAAGACAATCAGGTAGAGAGGATGTTTTAAGGATAATGCTAAGGAATCGATACTGTGGTTTTCTTTCTAACGTGTGAAACCGTAAACTGCCATCTGATTTGGGGAACAGATGTTTGAAGAGCATATTAAATAGAATTTGGTTAGGGTTCTGCAAAATCTTTTCAAAAGAGAAAGTTAGGCTATGTGGAGATTATTTAGCAGCCTCAAAATATTAAAAGCAAAATACATAAATTAAAAATTACTCCCTGTATAACAGACAGGCTGGAGGCCAGTACGTATGTTCCCCTTTACTTACAATAAAAATACAAGTGAGGTCATTATTATCACTATTATTTTTAGGACAGAGCATGATTGGTGTATTGGAAAAGAATCAAAGAGAAAAAGTGGAAATTCTAAGTAATCAGTTTAAAGTACTAGCTGAATATATTAGTGAGTGTCCGTTATGAGCCATACTGCTGTGTCTAAGTATACAAAGAAGAATAAGAGATATTTTCTAGCTTCAAAGCTTATATAGTTTAGGAGACCAGAAAGATGTTTTGATGACTATAATTTAATGCAATATCAACAATGGGAATACAGAGAAAGAGTGATTAATTTTCTTAGGGCAGGGACAGGATTTATTTTTTAAAATATATTTTTTATTGACTTCTGAGAGGAAAGGAGAGGGAGAGAGAGATAGAAATATCAATGATGAGAGAGAATTACTAGTGTTGATTGGTTGCCTCCTGAATGTCCCCTACTGGGAATCGAACCATGACCTCCTGGTTCATAGGTCAACAATCAACCACTGGGCCACCCCACTTGGGCAAGGGACAGGATTTCTTAGTGATAAGAAAACAATATTGGAAATGTCTTTAGAGAAGAGGTGATAAACAATGTTTTATATGAAGTATTCTGACATATATATAATATATATGATATATACATGTATGTATATATATTTATGCCCAAAATTTTAAATAGCTTCTCAATAATTCATTACTTTAAAAGATTGAAAATTATATGCATATATGGGAAGATAGGGAGAAAAAAGGTGAATATTTGAAAATAACTAATCTTCGTGTGTGTGTGTGTGCACAATTGTTCTTGAAACACAGATGTTACATCTGCATAATGCTTTAAAAGTTTTCAGAGTTTAATATCGATAATAAACTCATCATTAAAAATATATATAGTTTTAAAACTATGTTAACTTGTAAAGGGAGACCTTTAAATTTGCTTGCCCCATGAAGACAGAAGATTAAAAACATTTGTTCTTTGCTGCCTTTAGAAAGGTACAAATTGCCTTCCAGAAGGAAGAACAACACAGGGATGATGGCATTTGGAGATGAAGGCATTTGGAAAGAGAACCAAGAAAATATAGCTACTATACCTTGGGAGCTGACGTCATACTTTTCAGCAGAGAGCGATTTAATATCAATGGTAACTTTTTGTAACATCTCAATGACTTGGACCTGTTGTGTAAAGTCACGCAGCATGGCGGTGCCGCAGCCCCTCAGGTAGGCTTCCAGGATCACAGCGAATCTCTGCTGGTAGTGCCGCGACTGGGCTATCTCACTTCTCAAGAACCAAAACAAAAAGTGGCCGATTCTTTTGTTCTGAGAGTGAGAACAAGGTGGTTGAAATTATTGTGACGAATGCTCTAGGTCTACCAGCCAATTCCCAATAACTTTTAAAATGTCATGCTACTATCAAAGAAGTACTTACTCTTAAGCCACGCTTCAGCAGAAATCTGGCAAGGGCACTGTCATGGTAAGGTTCAAATTTCACAGCCTGAAGGAGGAACACATAGGCATTTGTAGGGCTGCATTCTATGTTGGTTAATCAGGGAAAAGGAGATGGAGAAACACTGGTGCTCTGCCTTGGTGGGTTTTATGGGTAGGGTGATGCGACTCTTACCAGTCACTTAAGTTCAGTCCTTTCTTTTCAAGGACACTTTCGGCCAAAGTGAACCACTTGCTTAAGGACCAGGAGTAGAAGCCAGAATTCTTGACTCACAGTCATGTGCTTTTGATAACGTCAAGGGAAAGAGGGGAGGGCTTTTTGCTCCCATTAAGGGCTTACTTGATTGACTGGCAGGATAGAAGGGAAGGGTGGAAATGGCTATAACAAATCTGTAAAAGTGGAAGGTAAGTGAGGTGGTCGGAAAGAAGATAGACAGTGGAGATCTAGTACATATGAGGAGAAAAATATTTGTTACATGTGAAAATCCTAAAGATCTTTATCGCTGCTCTTCGGCTCAAGATGTGTGTCTGGCATCTCACTGGCAAGTCTGAGCTGGCTCACAGGTTCTTACTGCAAATAAACAGCAGGCCCGGACCAATCCATACCATATGATCACCACTCCCTGACACACTGTGGTGTATACGAAGCTTTCTGTCTGAAAAATCTCTTACTTTATAAGCGTCCCCAGGTTTTGTAGTGTTTACAAGTTTTCACATCCCTTGAATATAGAGATACTGACTTTGATGTTAGCTCTGTGGCTTAATAAAAAGAATCCAATAAAATGTGATAAATCCTAGTGGGTCATGATATCTGTTATATCACTCTCTGTACTTTTCGATAAATCTGCAATAGTCCATGATTTTAAAAGTAGCCAGACTAACAAATATTGTTTGATTATTGTATATGCATATATAAAGTTATAGAGTAGATATCATGCATAAACATGAAAAGGGGAGGCTTAAAATTAAATATCTCAAAGTATTTTCTTTATAAATAGACATGGTCTATCATTTTTTTCAGATGAAACAGGAGAAATTCCCATTCCAATTTATGTTTTCACATCATAAAGGGCCTGGGACTTTTTGGTATGATTTCCACTTCTTTCTCTGATTTTCCAGTTTGGAAGTGATCAATACTGACTTGCTAATATTTCCATTATCCCCATACTTTCACAGATTCTTTCCATGGGTATAGTCAAAACGAACCCATTGTAGCTCCAGTTGAGAGTGTGGTAATTTCACCACCAGTACTCACTTCAGAAATGTCTTAATTTTCTAACGCTAATGTGAGTTTTTCCAACCTGAATGCCTCAAATAATTTTACAAATGACTACTCTTCACATTTACAACCACAAACTCAAAGCTAATATTACTTACTGACCTATCTCATGTAAACACTTCCAGGAAAACCATTCATTTTCCAATTCTTCAAAATTTACTTGTAGAAATGATAATGTAAAAGAATTCAAGGTGGCCTTGGGACTTAGAACACGTTCATGCAAATTTGTTTTATGTTCTATTTGTTGTGGAGAGCTAGAAAGCTGAAGATACTTGGATTATTCTAAAATTTTCATTAGTGACATGCTAGTACGTATCTGCCCTCATGGCCAGAGAAAAATATTGGAAATATTTGATAGATGAAGGCAAAGGCCAAATATATTGTTTCAAGTATCTGCTTAATGGAAGGTGAATATCCAGAGTTAAAGGGCAGAGTATCCAAAATGCTCATCAGAAAACTCCAGGGCCTTCCTGTCCATACAGATAATAATTAGACAGTTTAGAGCAGTGATGGCGAACCTATGACACGTGTGTCAGAGGTGACACGCAAACTCATTTTTTTGGTTGATTTTTCTTTGTTAAATAGCATTTAAATATATAAAATAAATATCAAAAATATAAGTCTTTGTTTTACTATTTGCAAATATCAAAAATTTCTATATGTGACACAGCACCAGAGTTAAGTTAGGGTTTTTCAAAATGCTGACACGCCGAGCTCAAAAGGTTCGCCATCACTGATTTAGAGCCTAACACTTAACCTGGGAAATCTTAATGATCTCAGGTCATACATCACCTATTCAAAACTGTCTCTGGCTTCTTCCATCTAAATTAAGTGTCCCCAGGACCCCTAACTGTTTTCTCATAGTATTCTGTAGTTCCCCCCCGAAAGCAGTCACCACAATTTGTTATTAAATATCTGCTTGTATGTATACCATTTAATGTCAGTCTTCTCCATGCACCACAAGCTACATGAGGGCAGAGATGGGCTGTTTTTATCACTGCTCTACATCCAGCATCCAGAACAGTGGAAGCGCTATGTACATGTTGTTGAATTAATGAATGGGCACTTCTGCACTCTGAAATAGAATTTCTATTCCAATTTCTTTGCCCTTGTCAAGAAGCACGGTCTAATTTGAGATTGGCTACAGTGAGCAGGAGAACTGCTCTCCTTCGTTTAACTTCCTAAGAAAACCTTAGGCAAATGATGTCGTCTCCCCTGACCCCAGGGAAAGGAATGAGAACAGGAGGGGCTTTCAGAGTCCCATCCAGGTATGAGGTATGATTCATGAATTGTGATCATATTCATGATCAGAGAGTATGACCTTTTCTCTCTAGGACATACAATTCTGACACTGGACTGATGCAGCATATTGGGAAGCAATGAAAAGAGCAGGGCCTGGAGTCCTGGGTTTTAATTTCGGTCTTTGAAAGTATGTGACCTTGGGCACCTTAGTGAGCCTCGGTTTCCTTACAATTAAAATATTAACTTGACCTCCACCATAGTTATTGGGAGAGTTAAATGTGATAATACACAACAAGCATGTATATCACTTGGAGCCTGACACAAGCATCCCATACATTGAATTTATCATTAATACAATAAATGAGAACAAAGTATTCCCATAGGGCCAGTTTTCCTAAGAAGTGGAAATATTACCATCTTCAAAATGCTCGTCTGAAAACTCATAAAGACAATTAAAAAAAAAAAGGAACAGTTTACTCCTTTCTGAGGTGGCTTCTTCAGATCAAAAGTGGAAATATTACCATCTTCAAAATGCTCGTCCGAAAACCCATAAAGACAATAAAAAAATAAATAAATGGAACAGTTTACTCCTTTCTGAGGTGGCTTCTTCAGATCTGCTTTGACAGATCATGATGCTCTGGACAAAGGGAACTGGATGACAACCGAATGGGGCGCCTGTGCAAATGCAAACCAATCCCTGGAGAAGAGGCTCCGTAAGTAACAGGGGCATCCCCTACCTGGACCAGCTGTAGCAGGTAATTCAGAACATCGTCGTCCTCCAGGCTCTCCAGTTTCTGGACTGCAATGGCTCTCACATTTTCATCCGAAAAGTTACAGTCCAGGAGTTGCATTGTCAGCCCAACATCCAAAGCACTTTGATCCCAGACCTCCCTCCTGGCTAACAATTGGTATGTTTTGGCCACCATCTCTTGCTGTCCCCATTTCACCGAGCTAAACAGCTTAGGATACGCTTTGGGATGCTTCAGGCTTTCATATCTGAAATGCCAGAGCAACTCTTTGTCTTCTGCTGTGAGAGGGTTGAGTGGATCGGTGGCTATGATCGCCTCCAGTTGCTTCCGAAGCTGGTTGGGCATTTCCGCTCGAACCCGGTCCCCTTCAGGGTCAGGGGTGGGCCGATGCTTAGGCAAGGCTATCGGGTGGCAGTAATTGTCCAGAAGAATGCAGATGGACATTGAGCTGTCCTTGTCCGGGTTGGTGGCCGACGTGAGCTTGTCAGCATTGAAGCTCCCTTGGTCTTCTCCCTTGCCAGATATCTGCCACATGTGGAGCACGTACTCCCCGTGGCGCAGGAGGAACCGGTGGTCGATGAGCAGCAGGTTCACATAATAGAGAAGCTGAGCTTTGCCTCTGGCCTCGGGACTGGTGGTCTCGGCAGAGGCCTTCCCGGACAGCGCCGGGGCCTTGCCGCAGTAGATCTGCAGGTTCAGCAGGGCCCCTTTGGGCAAGTCTTTGATTCTGATACTGAACTCAAGCCACACGTTCCAGAGCACCTCCTCCGTGAAGGGCTTGGGGCTGGTCCTCCTCTGGCAGAGCACCTGCTGCCCGTGCTGGATGTTCGCCTCCACGAACACCGTGAGGTCCGCGTTGCGGGGCAGCACCGGGATGTCGATGCCTCTGATTTTGACCCTGAACTTCCGGTCACAGTCCCACAAGGACACGGTGAACACGCTGTCGTGGTCCTTCCCGTGGATGGTGAGCTGCTCATGGTAGCCGGTGACGCCGGTGCAGTCATCCACCAGCGGCCACTCCTCTTTGCGCACCTCGTCCTGCGCGGGGTCCGGGGGCGCGTCCAGCACCAGGTGAATCTCCTCCCCGTTCTTGAGGCAATGCCTCACCCACTGGAAGTTCTTGAGGGGCGTCTCCCCCACCAGGTACTCGTCGCGGCCACAGACGCGCAGCACGAAGTCCTGCTCGCTCTGGCTCTCAGGGATATCCATCAGGGACTTCTTCTTGGCCATCTTGGTGAAGAAGCTCTGCAGGATGGCGGCCGGGGTGTCGTCGGCCGAGACCTTGATGGTCTGGCTGGTGGTGCTGCGGTGGATGACGATGAAGATGCAGTTGTGGGCGATCTTCTTCAGCAGGTACTCGGGGAGGGGCTTGGAGGTCACCCAGGGGTGCATGGCGTAGAGCTGGGGGTCGCGGCCCGCCACCTCCGCCATGCGTGGCGTCACCAGGCGGCGGCGCGTGAACTCGAGCTCGTCATCGTGCACGTTGCTGACGTCGGTGA